AGAAATCAAAGCAACAACATCCAACCCAACAGAATGAACAGTAATCTACCTTACCTATCAGTTCTCTCAATAAATGTGAATGGCTCAAACTCTCCACTCAAGAGACATAGGCTGGCTGAATGGATAAGAAAATACAGGCCAAGCATATGCTGTCTTCAGGAAACAATCTAACCTGCAAGGATGCATAAGACTAAAAGTAAAAGGGTGGAGATCAGTATTCCAAGCAAGTGGAAGCCAAAAGAAGGCTGCATGGCAGTTCTAATTTCAGATGATTTAGTTTGAACCAACAAAAGTAATGAAAGATAGAGATGGTCATTACATAATGGTGAAGGGCACAGTTCAACAAGAAGAGAGAACAATTTAAATATATATGCACCCACTTAGGTGCACCTAGATTCATAAAGCAAACCGTACTGGATCTAAGAAATTGATTAACAGCAACTCCATAATCACCGGAGATTTCAACACCCCACTGATGGCACAAGACTGACCTCCAAACTGAAAATTAGTAAAGAAATAATGGACTTAAACAAAACTCTAGAACAACTGGGTCTGACTGACATCTACAGGACATTCTACACAAAATCCACTGAATATATGTTCTTCTCATCAGCTCACGGGACATTCTCTAAGATTGACCATATCCTAGGCACAAACTAAGCCTCAAGAAATTTAAAAAAATAGAAATCATACGTGTATCTTCTCAGATCACAGTGGAATAAAAGTAGAAATCAGCCCTAACAGAAACTCACATTTATACACAAAACATGGAAATTAATAACCTCCTACTAAATGATTACTTCATAAATGAAGAATCAAGATGGAAAATAAAATATTCTATGAACAAAATGATAATGGAGAGACAAGTTATCAAATCCTCTTGGACACAGCTAAAGCAGTTCTGAGAGGAAATTTTATTTCCATAAATGACTATAAACAAAAGTCAAAAAGATCACAAATAGACAAACTAATTAAACGACTCAAAGAGCTGGAAAAGAAGAAACAGACCAACCCAAACCAGCAGAAGAAGTTAATCAACAAGATCAAATCAGAACTAACCAAATGAAACAAGGGAAGCTATACAGAAATTAATAAAACAAAAGTTGGTCCTTTGAAAAATAACAAAATTGACAAGCCATTGGCTAGGCTAACGAAAGAAAAGAGAATCTCTAATAAGCTCCATCAGGAACAAAAAAGGAGATATCACAACTGATCCCAAGGAGATACAAGATATAATTTATGAATACAGCAAAAATCTTTATGCACACAAACTGGAAAATGTGGAGGAAATGGACAAATTTCTAGAAACACACAGCCTCTACGCTCAACCAGAAGAAATAGATTCCTAAAACAGATTAATCTCAAAAGCTGAAATATTAACAGCAATTAAAAATCTCCCTAAAAAGAAAAGTCCCGGTCCAGATGGTTTCACACCTGAATTTTACCACACTTACAAAGAAGAACTGGTGCCTATCTTGCAGAAATTATTCCACATCGAAAAGAATGGAAATCTTCCGGACACCTTTTATGAAGTGAATATTACTCTGAAACCAAAACCAGGAAAGGATGCAACAAAAAAAGAAAACTACAGACCAATATCCCTAATGAATATAGATGCAAAAATTTTCAACAAAATCCTAGCTAACCGAATGGAGATGCTTATCAAAAAAATAATCCATCACGACCAAGTGGGCTTTCCCAGGGGTGCAGGGATGTTTAACATACGTAAATCTATAAATGCAATTCACCACATAAACAGAAAGCAAAACAAAGACACATGATTCTTTCAATAGATGCAGAAAAAGCTTTTGACAAACTCAACAACCTTTCATGATACGAACACTTAAGAAAATAGGCATAGAAGGACATACCTAAAAATGATACAGCCATATATGACAGACCATAGCAACATCATACTGAATGGGGAAAAATTGAAAGCATTCCCACTGGAACCAGAACCAGAACTGGAACCAGACAAGGCTGCCCACTATCTTCACTTCTATTCAACATAGTGCTGGAAGTCCTGGCTACAGTAATCAGACAGGAAAGTGGAATTAAAGGCATCCAAATAGGGGCAGAAGAGATCAAACTTTCACTGTTTGCTGATGTATGATTATATTTAAGAAACCCAAAGATTCAACAGAGAACTCCTGGAACTGATAAATGAATTTAGAAAGTCTCAGGATACAAAATCAATACACAGAAATCAGAGGCATTCATATACGCCACACAATCAAATTGAGACCAAATCAAATACTCAATTCCCTTCACAATAGCAAAAAAGAAATTAAAGTACCTAGGAATATACTTAACCAAGGAGGTTCAAGACCTCTACAGGGAGAACTATGAAACACTGAGGAAGGAATAGTAGAGGATGGAAATCCATACCATGGTCGTGGGGCGGCAGACTCAACATCATTAAAATGTCTATACTTCCCAAACTGATCTACAGATTCATGCAATACTATTAAACTCCATCAGCATTCTTCGCAGGATATAGAAAAAAATTTTACGTTCTTTATGGAACCTAAGAAGACCCGAATATCAAAAGCAATTCTAGGCAACAAAACAAAATGGGAGGTTTAATATGCCCAGATATCAAACATTACTACAAAGCTATAGTAATGAAATCAATATGGTATTGGCACAAAAATAGGAATATTGACCAGTGGAACAGATCTGAGATTCCTGATATAAAACCATCCTCATATAGCCAACTAATCTTTGACAAAGCAGAGAAAACATACGCTGGGAAAAGAATCCCTTTTCAATAAATGGTGCTGGGAAAACTGGATAGCCACCTGGTAGAAGGCTAAAGCAGGACCCCACACCTTCACCTCTCACAAAAACACTCACGCTGGATAACAGATTAACTAAGGTATGAACTATAAGAATTCTAGAGGACAATGTTGGAAACACTCTCCTAGACATCGGCCTAGCAAAGATTATGAAGAAGACCCAAAGGAATCAAAGCAGCAACAAAAATAAATAAATGGACATGATCAAATACAAAGCTTCTGCACAGCCAAGAAATAGTCATGAAAGTAAACTGACAACCTACAGAATGGGAGAAATCTTTGTATCTATGCATCAGATAAGGGGCTGATAACTGAATATACTTAGAACTCACGAAAATCAGCAAGAAAAATCAAATAACCCTAAAAGTGGCAAAAGACTGAAAGAAACATTTTCTAAAGGAAGACAGAAGAATGGCCAACAAAACATATGAAAAAATGCTCAACATCTCTAATCATCAGGCAAATGCAAATCAAACCACAATGAGATATCACTTAACTCCAGTGAAATGGCCTTTATCAAAAAGTCTCCAACAATAAATGCTGGCATGGATGCGGAGAGAGAGGAACACTCTACACTTGCTGGTGGGACTGCAAACTAGTTCACCTCTGTGGAAAGCAATATGGAGATACCTTAAAGCGATACAAGTGAATCTACCATTTGATCAGCAATCCCATTACTGGGCATCTACCCAAAAGATCTAATGACACACTACAAAAGACACCTGCCTCAAATGTTTATAGCAGCACAATTCATAATTGCAAGGCTGTGGAAAGAATCCAAGTGCCCATCAATCCAAGAGTGGATTAATGAAATGTGGTATATGTATACCATGGAGTATTATCAGCTCTGAAGAAACAACGGTGATATAGCACATCTTATATTTTCCTGGTTAGAGCTGGAACCATACTACTAAGTGAAGTATCCCAAGAATGGAAAAACAAGCACACACTATACTCACCAGCAAACTGGTATTAACTGAGCAGCACTAAGTGGACACATAGGTACTACAGTAATAGGGTATTGGGCAGGGGGAGGCGGAGCGGGCGGTATATATATATATAATGAGTTGAGATGTGCACCATCTGGGGGATGGTCATGCTGGAAACTCAGACTTGTGGGGGAGGGGTGAAAGGGTATTTTTTGAAACCTTAAAATTATACCCCATAATATGCTGAAACAAAAAATTTGCAATATAAGTTACATTGCAGTGAACTTTTACCCTATAGTCCACAGTTCTATGAATTGATAAATGCATAGAGTTGTGCACCACGAACTCAACCAAGATACAGAACAGTTCCATCACTCCCAGATTCATTTGCCCTTGTGGTCGGCCCTCCTCCATCCCCAGCATTTGGGAGCCACTGATTTTTTCTTTTTATTATTTTTTGGGGGTGGTGTCTGACTTCTTTCACTCAATGTTGTGAGTCCCCATGATGTTGGGTATAAAGTAGTTCATTTTGATCGCGTATATGAAAACGCCATAATTGGTTCATATGAATTGGTATGAATAGACCACCATATATGTATCCATTGTAGTTCATGGACAGGGTCATTCAGCTGGGGTTCACTAACAATGCAGCTAGAAACACACCTGGGCATGCCTTTTCACGCTCAGGTGCCCGCTCTTGATTTACACCGACATGGAAGATGTACTCTGTGTTATTTCTAGAAGTTTCATTTACCTTTCATGCTTAAGCTGCAATTGCCAGGAATGTGCAGTGTGGTCAGGTTCCCGCGTGGCTCCCGCGGCCGCCCGCCCCGCCTGTCCGCCCGCGTCCGCCCCCCGCCCCGTCCGCCGCCCCGCCCTGTCCCGCCCGCCTGTCCGCCCGCCTGTCCCGCCCCGCCTGTCCGCCCGCCCCCCTGTCCGCCCGCCTGTCCGCCCGCCCCCTGTCCCGCCCCTGCGCCCGCCTGTCCGCCCGCTTCCCGCCCGCCCGCCGCCTGTCCCGCCCCGCCTTCCCGCCCGCCTTCCCGCCCGCCCGCCCGCCTGTCCGCCCGCCTGTCCGGCCGCCGCCCCGCCCGCCCCGCCTGTCCCGCCGCGCTGTCCCCGCCGTCCCCGCCGCCGTTCCCGCCCCGCCCGCCTGTCCCGCCGCTGTCCGCCCCGCTGTCCGCCCGCCTGTCGCCCGCCCGCCTGTCCGCCCCCTGTCCCGCCGCCTGTCCGCCTGTCCCGCCCCGCCCGTCCGCCCCGCAGCGGAAGGGACTCGTCCCGCCCGGGGCGGCGGCGCGGGGATGGCGGCGGCGAGCGGGGACGCCCGGCTGCAGCTGGAGACGGCGCGGTGGCTGCTCTGGGACAAGGTGAGTCTGGCGGGACGCGCCGCGAGAAGGTACGGGGCCTCTCTCCCGGCGCGGCGGCCTCCTGCCCTGCCTCCCGCACCCGCGGGCTCGGCGCCCTGAGCGGGGACGCGGCCGGCTGCGTGGGAGTTGGGTCGGTCCGGGCGGCGGCGGTGGGCCGCGGGCGGGGCGGGGCGGGCGAGGCGGGGGCCGGGAGAGGCAGGGAGATGTGGGGGCGGCGGAGTGGGTGCAGGCGACGGCCGGGTGAGTGGCGGCGGAGCGGGCAGGAGGGTCTGGCTGGCGGCGGAGGGTGTGGGGTGCGAGGGAGCGGTGTGATGGCTGGGGGGCAGAGCGGTGTGAGCGCTGGGGAGCAGATGAGTGTGAGCGCTCGGGGGCAGGAGCGGTGTGAGCGTGGGGGGCAGGAGCGGTGTAGCGCTGGGGTAGAGAGGGTGATGCGCTGGGGGCAGAGCGGTTGTGAGCGCTGAGGGGGCAGGCAGCCGGTTGTGAGCGCTGGGGGGGCACTGTGAGTGGGGCGGTGTGAGCGCTGGGGGGCAGGGAGCAGGTGTGAGCGCTGGGGGGCGGAGCGGTGTGAAGCAGCGAGATGGGTGAGCGCTGGGGGGGAGGATGCGGGTGAGCGCTGGGGGGGCAGGAGAGGTGTGAGCGCTGGGGGGGCAGGAGAGGTGTGAGCGCTGGGGGGGGCAGGAGCGGTGTGAGCGCGGCCGGCCCGCGCTCGGGCTGGTGGAGGCGCGCTGGCCTTCCTGTGGCCGACTGGTCCTCTGGTCCTCTGTGCGTCCCCAAGGACCCGGAACCGCTCCGTTCGGCCCGTCCTCTTCGCCTCCGGGCAGGGTTCCGTCCCCCTCCCAAGGCCTTGGTTCCAAACACGGTCCCCCGGGAGGGCCCGCCTGGCGTCAGGAGTCTCCCTGAGAACTGGAAGGTGAGGACGGTCCCTTTGGGCCCAGCGCAGCTGTTTTCCTCTTTATTCCCTTTCCCTTCGCTAGAGCAAGAAGGGGCGGGGCCAGCTCTGGACGTCACTCCGCTCCTCTCGCACTTGAGGCTCCCCCTGTTCCTTCCTCCCTCCCCGCCCCCAAGGCTCCTCCCTGCTCTTCTCTGCTGACTCTGTTTCTCCTTGTGACTCATGTTTCCGGTCTGAACCTCCAAGTGGCCGACAGAGAGAGTCCTTCCCTGGCTATGAAGTGAAATTATTTCTCCCTAATAGTCTCTCTAAACAACTTGTTTTTTTCCCTTTGTACCAGTAGGTCTTACTGCAATTGGTAAAAACACCCCCCCCCCAAAACCCACCTGTTTGTAGGTTTGTTCAGCGCCTGTCTCCAGGGCTGACTTCGGGGCTATGAAACCTCTGCAGCCACGCAGGACCCGTGCTCCTAGAGTGGCCCGCTCCTGGTTTAATGCTCCCTGTTCTGTTTTGAAGTTTTTAATTGTTGGACACGGGGTCACCCGTTTTCATTCTGCGCTGGGCCCCAGCGTATTCTGTAGTTGACCCTGTCTGCTCTCTGCTCCCGCTGACTTCCCTGGTCTGCAGTGCCTGGCACAGCACGTGGCACTAGCAGGTCACTATTTGATGAATGAGTGAAGGAGATTGCAAGCTCTGTCGGCCGGGCCAGATCTTTGTTTTTATTTACCATTCTCTGGCCCCTGTAAATGAAATGGCACCAAATCGGGGTCCATCATGCTATTGGCAACTCCTTGGGTGTCTTTTCTGCTCCTGGAACTTTGTGATTCTTAGTGGGGAAAATGTTTCCATTTCTGATAACTTAGTAACTTACAGAGTATAGGATTCTTTTGAAGTCAGAGTTGGTAATGCTTCTTCCATAAAATTTCCCTTTGAAGTAAAAAAAAGTAAAACCCAAATTCTACAGTGTTGCATCTATATGGAGAAAGACTGTACTTCCTTGGGATGAGGGATGTTGTCGTTTTTTATTTTTGAATTGTTACTACTCCTCTTGTTCTTTCTTCTCTCAAAATTTCTTCTTTGGCTTGAGAGAGGCTCCTGTGTGGGAAGGAGCCCTTGCACCCTCCTGTGAGCCTCCCAGCAGCCCTGTCACCTGATGCCCCCACTGTGGCAGGGCGCCCAGTGGGTGCCGCGCATTTCCGCTGGGCCTTCTTTCCTGCTGTTTTCTGTACTGTTGGTTTTGGTCGCTTTCAGGGCTGCTTCTGACCTCTGTTCGCCTCTTGACTTTTCCTTCTTATCTCTGTGTCCTTTGTTCCTCTTAGGCTAGTTGGTCTTTTATAGACGTCACAGGCCAGTTAGGGTTTTCCACACCTACGCTGAACAAGAGAGGGTCACTGGACATTGGGTGTGACAGTGAAGTCTGTGTTTTCTCATTCGCTCCACGAACATTTATTGAGCCTGTTTTGTGTACCAGCTCTGGGCTCTTCTTTGGGGCACCTGACAAACTGATAGGTAAGACTGTGCTCTGTGTGTAATGCCTACTGCTCTTAACCAAAAAAAAAAGATGAGAGTTACTTGATCCTTGTTGAGCCTGGAACAATCTGAAATGTGAGCTTAAGTCCAAAAAATGAAGGTTTTATTGCAATAGCATTTCAAAGTATAGTTGCGTGGCCACATCTTTCCTGAGTGTTCATCTGAATGGATGATGTCTGTCAGATAGGAACAGAAAGTGCTTTCTCTGTTGTTCCCCTGGACTCATCATGTAAAAGTCTCATATGAAATTAATGTGATTGTCATTATTTTTCTTCCATCTTAACATTATCTGCAATTGTTGTACAAAGAAAATAGAGCAATGTATAATAAACTTAAATGATTCGTGTCAGTGTCCGTTTGGAGCAGTTAATGTTACAGAAGAGGCACTCGATTAACGCTTATCATGCAGCTTAAGCAGGCCACTCAGTCTCTGAGGCTTCCACATCAGTAAAATGGAGTTTTTGTTATTTGCCTGTTTCTTGGTGTTGTTGCAAGATTCAAACTTGACCAGGTATGTGAACATTACAAAAGTGAGGGGGGTTTTGTTGTTGTTATTTGTTTCTTGAGACAAAGTCTTGCTCTGTTGCCCAAGCCACGGTGCCATGGCATCATCCTAGCTCACTGAAGGCTCAAACTCCTGGGCTCCAGTGATCCTCCTGTCTCAGCCTCCTGATGAGCTGGCACTATAGGCACGTGCTACCACACCCAGCTAATTTTTTTCTATTTTTGGTTGAGACGGGGTCTTGCTCTTGTTCAGGCTGTTCTTGAATTCCTGAGCTCAAGCAGTCAATCCTCCTGCCTCAGCCTCCAAGAGTGCTAGGATTACAGGTGTGAGACATCCTGCCCGGCCAAGGTTTTGATTTAGATTGTATAATCTATCAATCTATGGGAAAATATGAGGACATTAAAGAAGAAAATGTATGTTTAATCACAACAAAGTGCCAGGTAGAGAATAATACTTTACATTCATTTGATATAATTCTCCTAAAACCTTAAAAACTGTGTAAGGGAGGTTCTAGATTGTTTCCATTGTACATATGGGGAAACTAAGAATTTGAGAAGCTAAGTAATCCACCAAGCATACAGAGTTAGTTGGTAAGTGGAGTGGCTGAAATCCCATTCTGGGTGTTAGACTGTGCTAAAACTTCTATTACCATTTCTCCAAAAGTGCTTAACCTTGGTAGGAAATAAAAGAATACTTACATTTTAGTGTCAAATAAACTAGTTTCATGTTTCAAATTTCAAAAACGTCAGAAAATTGAAAAGCTTATGTATATGTATATAATTTTCCCCCCATAGGTTAGAATTATTGCAGGGCTTTTTACATTTCAGACTTTTCTTTCTCTTATTTGTCTGGCTGTATCTGGTCTATACATTTCTGTTTTGCAGAATCCTTTGACTTTGGAGACAGTGAAAAGACTAATAGCGGAAGGCAATACAGAGGAACTACAGAAATGTTTCGGGGCCCGAATGCAGTTTGGGACAGCAGGCCTTCGAGCCGCTATGGGGGCAGGTGTTTCTCGGGTGAATGACTTGACCATCATCCAGACCACACAGGTACCACATTTTTTATAGTTACTAGTTGCTCTTAACTTATCCCCTGGTTCCTTTTGTGTCTGATAGAACTAATTTGTTTCAGTCATGAACAAGTCTTGTGAGCTTGGCTGGGCGCAGGGAGTCCGCACTGCGTACCCTGTGAAGTAAGGCCTGTGCAGTTGGCCGAAGCAGCACTGGCTTCAGGACTCATATGGCCATGCACCCGTGCATTCATTCATTCGTTTACCAGATTCCTTGAGTGCCTACTATGTATGTGCCGGGCATTGGAGATATGAGAATGACTAGAACAGACAGGTTCCCTCGCGGAGCTTTCATTCCAGTACAAATGCACCAACTAAGCTGACCAACTTTTAAGGTCTTAAAATTTTTGCCATGATTCTATGGATACAAGCACTGAAAAACTTTTCTGCCAAAATTACCAAAAGCAGATTCTATTCTGTTTTAATTTATGGTATGGATTAAATCTATTGTTGAGTTTTCTTGCCTTAATTTGTGAATTTTGTTGTCAGAGTCTAGACCCAGCTTTTAGGAATAGAGATGAAAACTTTGAAAAAACAGAAGAGCTGCCACTGAGTATTGGAAGTACTGTTTGTAAGGAAAATGAAATAGAATAGATTATTCTCACAATTTCTTCAACTTAGACTTGTTAAAAATGGATGTCACTTTAATTCTGGGAAAGTAAAGGCTAGAAAAATTGCCTAATAATGATTACGTGTGCCTCATATGTACATCCCAGTGTGAAAGAGTCAGGCATGTTCTAGTGAAACCCCGAAAATGTAAGGATACAGAATTGCCATGGGAACTCCTGCCCACAAACTCTTACCAAGCTAGAGATCTTCTGGGAGGGAAGACTTGGAGTGGAGTGAGGATGGGAAGCCTGTTCCAGTCATTAGGGCTGTGTACAGTTCATCCAAAACATAGTGATTTATAACAACAGCCACATTTGTTTTGCTCACAAGTCTGTCATTTGGGTAGAGCTCAGTGGGGACAGCTCATCTCTGCTCCATTCAGCAGCACCTGGGCCAGTTTGGAGGTTGGACTCATTTGGAGGCTCCTTCATTTACATGTCTGCTGTTGGCTGGGCCCTTAGCTGGGCTGGGTCACCCACGTGTGACCTCAGCTTCCTTGCAGGACAGTGGCAGGTTTCTAGGGGAGCTTTCTGAGAAAGGGAATGTGCCAGTGGAAACTGTACTGGCTTGTATGACCTAGCTTTGAAAGTCACGCAAAGTCACTTGCACTATATTCTGTTTGTTAGAAGTGAGTCGATTGGGCTGGATCATACTCAAGGCGAGGGCAGACACCCTCTTTCCACTGGAGAAACTTTGACATCACGTTACAAGAAGACCGTGTGGGATGGGCTATATTGCTGTGGCTGTCTTTGGAAAATCCTTTTGGTCCCACCTGCTATGAAGCCTAATTGTTAGGGGGTTCTAAGGGATTCTAGAGTAACCTTGAGACTTTTTTCTTATATTCATCTAGTTTCCAAGAATGATGAAATGTATTTCCATTTAGGACCTATGTCACCCACCCTTTCCCCTTGAAGAATTGGGAGTAGACCTTGTGGTAGTTAAGGATCTGATAAAACCAAGATGATCAAAATAATTTGAAGATCATCTAGTTCAATCAGCCACCCCCTTGCGATAATTTTCTCCACAACGCCACCTCTCTGAAGTGTCATCTTGCCTATATTGGAATGGTTATAATAGGAGACAAAGATGTTAAGAGTTAAGAAAGTTGTATCTGAGCAGCGGGTGACTCTTTAAAATTTTAGGAATGGCTGTGAAATTAGGGGAAAGAGGCTTCCCAGAACAGACCGCTCAGCTCCCACCGTGGCCTGGGCCGTGTCCCGGCAGAGTGCTGATGTGCGGGCACAGTGATCGCCGTCCACCGTTCTGACTTTCACTGTGGCGTAGGTTCCCTTCCTGCTGGTCTTCAGGTGTGGAGTCTCGTCCTAATGTGCCCCCAGATTTGCCTGGTTAGGTTAGGAAGCAGGTGGATGTGATTCAAGAACATCTCATAGGAAACAGGATAGAAACTGGAGGACAACTTTTGTCTTGTTTGCCTCATTCGTAGAGGTTATAATTTCCTTTTATCAATGAATTTCTGCTCTAGTTTATGCTTGATTTGTGATCTATGTGTTCTCAGTTACTTAATCTATCCATGTCACGTCAGTGAAGGAGAATTCACTGTCCTCTGAAACAGCCCATTCTGTATTTTGTACAATTTTCATTAAAAGATAGTTTCATTATTTTGAGCCCAAATCTGCCTTTCTGTAGCCTTCACATATTTGTTCTGATTTTTGAAGCCATATAACAAGCTTGATTCTTGTGTTTTATAATATTTCAATTCTGAAAACCTCCCTCTTCTCCCACTGAGTCTTTTCTTGAGAAGCATTCCCTTTTCCCTTAGCCGGTTTTCTCAGGAGCTCATCCTCAGCCGGCCCCAGAAAGTGTTAGAGAATTTGGAGATGGTTTGGGCTACAGCGGAATGCTTGTTGCCCCCTCTAGCACTGGCTCCAGCACAGGGGTAACCAGGGAGGGAGGGGTGCTGTCATGTGGAAGCCTTGGCGTGTCAGGCGGCTGAGCACCTGCCTTCTGGGGAGCCCACAAACCAGCACACGCCAGTCTTTATTTCCTTTGGCACTCAACCTCAGAAGTCACGCCCAGTGCAGTGTTTGTCAAGGAAGACTCTAAAGTCATTCTGGGGGTGTGATGTGTCCCCCTAACAAAAATTAGAGTTACATATATTATTTATGAAACTTCCTATAGCCAAAGTGAAAGAAATAATAAGAACTGTCATTTTTGCCGAGTCATCCAGAGTTCTCTTTGTTCTATAAGGCTTTGAAGGAAAGTAACAATAAAAATAATTCTTATAATGGCAAACACTTACCTAGTACTTACTTGGTGTTGAATTCTCAGCATTTTGCATATTTTAATTAATTAACTCCGATAATAGCCCTATGAGTTGGGTACTATTGTTATTTCTGTTTTACAGAAGAGGAAACTAAGGCACCAGGAGATTAAAGAACTTGTAATTTGCTTATAGGGGTCAGAGTGAAGTACAAAGCCACAGATTCTGATTCTTGAGTATTTGTTTTTAAGCCCTTCACTGAGCCACCTCTTACCAGACCTGGGTACAAAACCAGGTTCTGGTGCTTGCGTATCTGAAACTAGGCAAGTGACCATATCTCTCTGAGCCTTTGTTTTCCCATCTGTAAAGTGGCATTTCTTGGCAAAGTTGATCAGGGGTTAGAGATAATAGATACTAAGTGCCCAACACAGTGCCTGATACAGAGATAGATAGATAGATAGATAGATAGATAGATAGATAGATAGATAGATAGATAGATAGATAGATAATAAAGCTGTTGCTTTCTTACTGTTCAGTTTGTTTAATTACTGGGAGGTTTTCCCCCTTCTGCTATAATGCTCTCCTATGAAAGTTGAGAAAACTTGATTTTTGGTTAATTATTCTATGTCATATAAATAAAAGATGTGTTAAACATACAGTCTTTCAAGCCCTGGGGCATTTTTTTAGGGATTTTGCAGATACCTGGAAAAACAGTTCAGTGACCTGAAGCAGAGAGGCGTGGTGATCAGTTTTGATGCTCGAGCTCACCCGTCCAGTGGAGGCAGCAGCAAAAGGTATTTAAACATTTTTAGGAAACGATTTTTTTGTAGTTTATTTTGCTGTTTTATTTTTAATCACCATTTCAATATCTTGAATCTTGACTTAAATACATCTGTTAGCTACCTTGCTTACCTATGAAAATGATAGGTAAATTCTATTTGCAGCTTTGTAAAATTCTGGTTATATACTTAGATTAAGAAAATAATATTATCTAGATGATTTAGAATATAATACCCATCTAAATGAAAGACATTTTTTTAAACTGGCAATATTATTTTTCCCTCTCATTTACTTCTTTTTATGTAATTTTCCCCCTGCTATTCATAAGTCTTATGGCCCACTTCTCATGTCAAGCTGCATTTTTAACATTCCCAAACTCATGGGACTCTCTTAGTAGCTTTAGGTATAAGATGATGGTGATAGTGATAGCAGCAATACTGATTATGAGCCAGGCACTTACATATTTATTCATTGAATCCTCCCAACAACCTGTAAGGTATGCACTGTTATCTCCGCCCTGCGATCATAAAATGAGAGGAGGAGTCACAACAGCATAAAGAGTCTGGTGCTAGAGGTCAGCAAACTTTTTCTTTATGGGGCAGATAGTCCGTGTCTTACACATTGCACACCATATGGTCTTTGTCCCAACTACTCAACTTACCATGAAGCACAAAAGTACCCATAGACAATACATACATGAATGGGCATGGCAGTGTCCCAATAAAACTTTATTTACAAACTGGGCTGTAGTTTAGCAACCCCTTCTCTTAACCATGTTATATGACCCTCTTTTAAATTAAACACTTGCCCTATTATGATGAATTTTTGATCATTCCAGAGCATAAGTATTAATAGTTTCTCAGATTGGGAGAACATACAAATCTTACTCTTAATGAAAAGTCTCATTAACTCTGCAGAGCTGGATGAATTTATAGAGTCCTATCTTTGCCCACCCAGAGCTTCCAATCTAAGAGAGAAGCATTGATGGCAGCAAATGTGTGGCCGTGAGGAAGGGAGTGTGGCCGGGGAAAATCCCCAGATGACATCAGCCCCCAGATTGAACTCAGGAGGGCATAAGATTTTTAGTTTTCAGCATTGAGGCTCAAAAATGTGATTTTTTTCAATAAAGCAAGAGAAATGTTGTAGCTCTGGGGGATAAAGGTGCATGAAAGACATGTGATGTGGTATAAACCAGAAGTCAGCTTGTCGTTTATAGTTAGTGAATGTGCAGTTTGAACAGACCACCAGCATGTTCTGCTGCCCCCGGGCAGATCCTCTGGTCAGAGTGGTATGTGTATGTGCACATTGAGTATCTGAGGCTAAATCTGCCTGGCTGGCTTCTCGAATTTTTTCATTTTAGGCTGACTACCCTGCTTCTGGTTGATACATCCTTCAGATATAACGATTAAGGTATAGCTATTTCTTGCTCTGGCCTTCGAGCCATATCATTTCCTTAAAGTACTTGATATTACAGATTATATTTCAGTTTATGGTTCAGGTCTCACAGTTTGATGGGATAGGATGGAGCTCAGGGCTACTCTTTGTCACCTACAATGTGTAAGACATTTAGAGACTGACATAAATGTTAAACCAATGCATGACAAAACATTCACAAGTATTAATAAATAGAATCTTCCTAAAGGGTTGAAAGTATTCCAGTTCCATAATTTTACCTAAAGAAATGTTTGTTAGTTTTTTGTTTTTGTTTTTTTTGAGACAGAGTCTCACTCTGTTGCCCGGGCTAGAGTGCCGTGGCATCGCCTAGCTCACAGCAACCTCAAACTCCTGGGCTCAAGTGATCCTCCTGCCTCAGCCTCCCGAGTAGCTGGGACTACAGGCATGCGCCACCATGCCCGGCTAATTTTTTTTAAATGTATATATTTTTTAGTTGTCCAGCTAATTTCTTTTTATTTTAGTAGAGCCAGGGTCTCACTCTTGCTCAGGCTGGTCTTGAACTTCTGAGCTCAAGCAATCCTCCTATCTTGGCCTCCCAGAGTGCTAGGATTACAGATGTGATGTTTATAGTTCTTTAATCTTCCCATTTTAAATATGTCGTGGGGAACGTAAGCAGTAACTGTTAAGCATATGAAGAGAACACACTGAATAATTTCCGTACGTTTGTAGCTGCGCGTGCGTGTGTTTGTGTGCATGGGCACGGAGGTCTCCCCTCTGCCCCAGCCCCCCCTACGATGGTGTGAATGAAGCTGGTGCTCAAGAAAGGTTCGAGGGAGAATGAATGATCTGAGTGTTTTAATCCAGTAATGGCACACTGCTCATTCTAAGTAAATTGCTCGTTTGTGGTAAAGTATCTTAACACCATGCATGAGACAGATTTGATGCTGATGCCAGTTGCAGTGGAAGCTGAGAAAAAATGTCAAAGGTTCAAGTTTTCTTTTAAAGGCTAATTGGAACCAAGATATGTGTGTGTGTGTGTGTGTGTGTGTGTGTGTGTGTGTCGTGTGTGTGTGTGTGTTTACGCACATGCACCACCAAATATGTCCTATGTTCAATAAAACCATCTGTAGTCCAGTGCTGTCTGCACGGTGTATACAGGTTTGTCAGCCTCTGCACTATTGACATGTGACTTCACGCTGGCTGGATAATTCTTTGTTGTGGGGACTGCCTGTGCATTGTAGGGTGGGCGTGCAGCAGCACCGACTCACCCCACCCTAGCTGACCGGTAGCACTTCCCCCTTTCCCAGTGTGACAACCCAAAATGTCTCCAGACACTTCAGGGGCAGGGGCAGAGTGACGCACAGCTGGAGCTACTGAGCTGGATGGCAGGCGAGCTGAGGCTGGGAGCGACTGGCCCAGCCCGCTTACTGGCTGTCGGACCATGGGCAAGGTCCTGGCTTTTTCTTGGTTAGTCCCATTTCTGTAAACAAAGAAGAGGTGGAATGAGGTTACTTTTAAGTGTTCTCGCTTTAATGTCTGTGCCAATGTAAGATTTTGGAATAAATGTTGTCCTTGATACTGGCTGCTGTGTCTACCTAAGGAAGGGTCGGGCATTCATTCCTTCCCTCCTGTCACCTGAGATCTTGACATCTAGATCTTTCTTCCTGTCACTCCTCATTCCCAGGTTTGCCGACCTGCTGCA